TGTAGAAAAATTTGTTCTACATGTCTAGTCTATGTGTTCTCTGGTCAGTGCTATTGCTCAACAGTCGAAAAAGTTTTTTCTACCTGTCTCGTCTATGTGTTCCTTGGTCAGTGGTTTCATGTTGCAGCTCTCACATATCGATAACTTATGGAATACGACTACTAAAACTTGTTGTCCACCAAGAAATCGTTTCACAACACTTTATACAACAAATGCAGAGGTCACCGTTCCTAATACTATAAAATAAAAAACAAACTACACAGGGAAATTCACAAAAAGCAAGTGTCAATAAATTCGGGTATCACAAAACACGTAGTTTGTAAATTATTACATTACATCCGATAGCAGATCCTGCACATCCTTCTACTAAATTTACTATTAGGTGAGAAAAATCAAACGTGGTCGTTAAATTAAAAAAAACGTGTTACGAAAAATATGGTTGGAGACTTTCCGCCATATCGTTCTTATGACGTCTATCTTTTATTAATATTGAATGATTAGAACATAATAATCTATTCATATTCACCACAAAGACTACTGACACAGCTCCAAAATGTCTAATGTTAATTCATTTTAGTTTCTATTGTGCACATTATAAAAAGGCTGTGACGAAACTGATTTATTTATTATTATTATATTATAGGAAAATATAGAATACTGATTAATAATTATAACTCTTGTTTTTAAAGTCAACAGCTTTGCAACAATGGCACGCGGTCATCAAAAAATACAATCGCAAGCAAAAGCGGCTGAAAAACAAGCGAAGATGAAAAAGCAACAAGGCCACAGTGCCAATGATCAAAAGAAAGCGGCACAAAAAGCACTCGTATATGTCTGTGTCCTCTGCAAAGTAAGAAACATCGCTATCTAATTATCTTGAATACTTATAAAACAAAAAATGAAATTCTTCCACGCAGTCGCAAATGCCAGATCCTAAGACTTACAAGCAACATTTTGAGAATAAACATCCAAAAAATGATATGCCTGAGGAGCTGAAAGACCTGTAACGCGCGTTTGAATATTATCAAGTAAACGACGAGTTGCCTACAAGTACGAATAATTGCAACAATAATATAGTTGAAACAATCAATAATTTAAAATAAAATGAAAAAATATACGCAAACTAATTTTTAAAATCCATACATTTGATTGGCCTGAATAATAAAAGTTTCAATATCTGTCACAATACTTTTTAAATACATTCGGGGATTTAGGGCATTTAGTATAATTTATAGCTTTAAAATAAAAATTTTTGTACGATTTTAAAACAAACAAAAAATTGCTATCAAACAATACGAAAAAGATTATAAATAACCATGTCAGGAAATAGAATAAAACATTAACTCATAATTGAGGCGACAGCATTAAATCTAAATGTTCGCGATCGGGAAAATCTGCTAAAATGGTTATACCAATGTTATTATCCGGTAATAGCGGCGTTTCTTCGTGATATCCAAACCAATAGATGATAATACCAGGTCCAAAACTACATATATAATATATAAAATAGGATCCAATAGTTGATTGCAAAGCGAAAAGTTACCGATTGCAGTAGCTCAATAACTGCTGCTGAATGTTCCATTTATGGCTTTTGGGATCTCCGAAATTAGCCTTGCTCTCTATCCAGTTAACTATATGACCTTTGTAAAGAAACGGCAATATAACCTTGATGTCGGGTGTCTTGTCATAACCCATACGACGCAAATCTCGCTCATCATAGAAAAAAATTCCAGCTGCATTAGCCAATTGTTTGAGTTTTAACTCGTACTCTTCACCAATCATTCGTCGTCGAAGATCTGTAATAGGTCCCTCCTGATTGTCGCTGTATAAACATTGCTGTACGTTAGCAGCCAGACGTGAATCATTGATCAAGTAGGGATGCTTTAGCAATTGGGAAATAAGAGGTCTTTGTCCCATATAATATTTCTCTTGCAATAGAAACCGACACATCGATATGGGATTTATTGATTCCGCACAAGCCATGCGTATAAGAAGATCACTATCATCATACAAGTGGCATTGATCGTCGTATCTGAACAAATGTTTAAAATCGTTCATGCAAAAAGCCATTAAATCAACGTGCATATTTAAACTTACATTTTCAAAAGCAATTCGGCGCGATTCTCGTGCCGCCAGTGCTGGCCACGCGCTTTATAAAATAGTTGCGATTGTAGAATGCAAACCAGAGCTAATGGTTCAATGTCATTGAAAATGCGATTTGCCATGTTTAGCTCGCAGTCTATCGGCAGCCCATCACCGCAGAATTCATTTATGAAATGACAGATTTGTGTATACTCTACGTTAGTCAATATCTTTTTTTTCATTGGTTTACTTTTTTCCGCTTTATTTCTACTTAACGCCATACTTTCAAATTCAAACCAAATTTTGCTCGTAATTCCGATCAGCTGATGAAACCATTCTTGACAGTGAACTTAATACAGTTCTTAATACAACTGAACTAGTTTAACACACCCAGCTAAGAACGATTTACATTCATCGAAATGAAAAATTCCCTTATATTTGCATATGCATGCATTAAAAAATTCGTTTTATGAAATTTAAATTAAACCTTAAGCTCGTACGGCCGCAAAAAAAAAAAACGAATATTAATATATGTACATATGTATGTACATATGTATTAATATTAATGATTTTTATGAACGATAGATCTGAATATCGAACTGATACTGCTGATGCTCAAGAGAATTCTAAATTCATATCAAAATAATAATTTATTTTAATCACTAGCAGTTAGTGATTTTATATACTGCTAAATTGAATTCACATACATTTACATATGTATGTATGTTTATACTGTTATTGTCGATTGTCTGGAAGGCTTTGAATTTCGAGACGTCAATCGACAACTGAAGCTACAACTCTTAATAAAAACAGCTGGTAACACTCTGACAAAGCAATAGTCAAGACATACATACATACATACATAGTGTGTCTTGTCTGGCAGATGTATATAGCACCTGAGATAGAAAGACACGTCAGAATACATCTACATACTTATTTCGTTAAATTATTTACACAGTTGGTTCTCTTATTAAACACATACTAATCCGAATACATTCTACCATGAAATTTATCCTAGCGAGTGTAATGCTTACGCTGTATTTAGCTTATTTAGTTATGGCATTGCCTGTAACAAAAAATAAAAAGGAAGAAAAGCGCAAAGAGCCAAGCAGCACAACAGACACAGCTGACGTAGAAGCTGCATTGGAGTATGAGCGGTATTTGCGCGAAGTCGTGGAAGCCTTAGAAACAGACCCTGAGTTTAGGAAGAAACTGGACAAAGCACCTGAGGCCGACATACGCGTAAGTCTTACGATATGGGCATTTTTTCAGAAAACTATTTTTTGTAGCCTGCGAACACCTTGTTTTTTTTTTTGCGCAAATACATATCATAAAAACGCATCGATTACAGTGCTAAAATAAATCTTTAAGTTGAGAAATAGTGAATTTTCTTGATTGCAAGGTAAGCTGTTCGCATGCTTTATGAAGCAAACTTATGGAAAATGCCCATATCATCTGTTTAGGGTGCACCCCAATAATCATATTAACCATTTAGAGTGGCAAAATTGCACAAGAACTTGATTATGTAAATCATCATGTGCGAACAAAGCTGGATGAAATTAAACGCCGTGAGTTGGAGCGTTTGCGAGAACTGGCCAACAAAGAATTTGAGCTAAGTAATGACATTGATCGCGCACATTTGAAAGTACCACAGCATTTGGATCACGGCAATGAACATACATTCGAAATAGAAGACTTGCGTAAACTGATTCAGAAAACATCTGACGATTTGGCTGAGGCCGATCGTAAACGACGTGGTGAGTTCAAGGAGTACGAAATGCAAAAGGAATTCGAGCGGGAAGCTCAAAAGAGAGTAATGGATGAAGAGTCGCGAAAAAAATTCGATGCAGAGATAAAAGAAAAGGAACAAAAACATAAGCAGCACGAGAAAGTCCATCATCCAGGTAACAAAGCGCAATTAGAGGAAGTCTGGGAGAAACAGGATCACATGGACAAGGATGATTTCAATCCCAAAACCTTCTTTTTTATTCACGACATTGACAGCAATGGGTTTTGGGATGAAGCTGAAGTAAAGGCACTCTTCATCAAGGAACTAGACAAAGTATACCAAAGCAATTTACCCGAAGATGACATGCGCGAGCGCGCCGAAGAAATGGAACGCATGCGAGAGCATTACTTTCAGGTATATTTTTAACTTGAGCTTTAAAAAAAAAAACGTTAATATGAATTTCTAACTTATTTGCGACACTACTTTAATTAGGAAACTGACACTAATCATGACGGACTTATCAGTATGGATGAATTCATGCAACAGACCTCAAAGGAAAAGTTTCAAAAAGACCCTGAGTGGAAGACCATTGATCAACAGCCTCAATTTACTCATGAGGAGTATTTGGAGTTTGAGCGACGACGCCAGGAAGAAGTACAACACATGATTGCTCAAGGTCAACTACCCCCACATCCCAACATGCCGCAGGGCTACTACATAGGGCCGCCGCCAGCATCATTTCAGGCACCTGCGCAAGGTGCTCAATTGCACTATCAGCAACCAAATCAATTACTTAAGCAGCAAGAGCAACAGTATCATCATCAACAGCAGCAGTACGCCCAGCAGCAGCCCCAACAGCATGGCGAGTCGCAGCCCTCTCCAGCTTATCAGCATCCACAGCCGCAGCCGCACATCTATCAACAACCAAGCCAGCAGCAGCAGCCACAGCCTACTT